ACAGTGGTAGAATCAAGGAACTAAATCTATTTAGTTTAACAAACAGACAGTAAAAGGGTGTGTGATGGGGTTTACCTACCCCGCATTGGTTCAGCAGGGGTTAATCATACTTTGTGGGCCGAGGAGGCCATGCCCCCCCATCTCTGCTGGGCATGCTTCAGCTGGAACCAGGATATGAAAGAGCCGCTCAGCTCAGGCTGAGATGACTGCTGAAGGGAGCAGAGGTGCATTGTAGGCTCCCACAGAGAGACTGCCAGAGCTCCAGGATTCAGAGGCCAGCTGGACTGTGGCTACCTCTGAATCCTGGAGCTCTGGCAGTCTCTCTGCGGGATTCTGAGACTGCCAGAGCTCCAGGATTCAGAGGCCCCCAGCCACCCAATGCCAGAGATGGAGGAGAGACCACAGAATCCCGGAGACTACCAGCTGTGGAAGAACGGGTGGGAAGTAGCCTAGGTGGACTAAGCACTGATCCAGTTGAGGTACCAGGCTTTGACTCGGCATGTTTTGGAAGGATCCCCGCTGAGTTGGAGGCAGATACCCCTGCGGCAAGACAGGGCCCTGGGCTGGGACCTGTGGAATAGGTAGGAGCCAGTGGAGAAGGGCTGGCCTAGGCAACACTTCCCTGCCGCAAAAGGTGGTTCTATTGACTCTGGCCACTAGGCCGCACTGCCATACCCAGAAGGGCAGCCCTAGTGACTTGTGCTGTTGGGCCATGGACCCTCACCGAAGGGCTGCTGCCCTGATCCTGACCATTAGGCTACGCTGCCCTAGGAGCCAGGACTGCTGCGGTGGCTAGGGAGACTAGGCCAGCTGGGCCGCCCCAGATCTACTTCAGTTCCTCCACAACCTGGTACCAACCTGATGGGTGGACCTATCCTGTGACAGGGTGACTTAATGACAGTCTATAATATCTTACGTGAGGGATTCATGTTTTATAATGGGCTCTTCAGTTTAGCAGAGAAAGGTGTAACTTGATCCAATGGCTAGAAACTGAAGCTAG